TTTACGATCATTTTAAATTAAATATATTTGGGTGAACACAGCTGGTCGGATTAAACATATAAAGCCGACCGACATCAGCTTAAACTACTTTTTCTGACATTTTATAGACCAAACTATTAATTGATGACATTAGAAAATACGTAATAGATCTTTGATTTGAGTCATTTTAAAGGCCGCTTCACAAGAAACATATCAAAGACTGGAGAAAATATTCCTTTTCTGTCCTTTGATCATCTCACAACCCTCACACTTATCCTGTGACCCATCTGGTTGCAGACGGGGAACCACTACAGTACAGCAACCTGTGTGTGCTCGACCTCGAGTGCATCAGTGCGGATCTGAAGGCGCCCTCACATGTGAGCAGGACAGGAGCTCCTTCATGATGTAGCCGTCGTAAATCTGCCGGCTGCGGCTCAGCCTCTCCTCCTCGGAGTCCAGCTTCTCGTAGTCCTTAATCTGAAACAGACACACGGGGTCAGTTTAACGCCGCAAACAAAACAAAGCGCTTCCTGGGAGGGCTAAATCTGAATGAGCGGGATTACAGGCCTAATCTCTCACCCATCCCCGCGATGCCATCTAATCCCGCAAACACACACACACACACACACACACAGGACACTTACTTCTTCGTAGAACTTGAGCTGAGGTACGGCCTCGTCAATCTCATTCATACAGAAGTCCTTGAACAGCAGGAAACCTGGAGGACACACAGAAAGGACAGGAAGCAATGAGGACAAGAACCCACACTGTTGAATATTTGACAGAAATCTCTTGATGCTTTGGGTGATATTGTTCATTGTGTTCAGCGCGGCTCTACAGGTGGCAGTGACGGTTGACCTGTTGGTCCAGACACTGTGATAACCTTATCCCTCCTGCGTATACACATTGTGAACTTGCTGATACACGCTGAAGAAGGGCGCCTTGCTCAACGTCTGTGTGGGAAAATTAAAAAAGTGCTGTCCTACTGCTCTGCTTTTTGATTTTACACATTTAAGATTTAGCACCTGGGCGTGTTTTAAGTTTATAACCTGCCGTATTTACACACCTGATAAGAAAGTCTGAGGTGTGGTGAGCAAACATGAATAATTTAATATTCTGTAGCTATGTCACAACCAAAAGATCAGAGAGCATGAAGCCTATCAAAATCTATTCAAAATAAATTATTATGAACTTATAATTTATCGTCTGAAATTCAATTATCGCAAATAATTCTAATATAAATTTCCCTTTATTGGCCGACAGTTTATCTGTCCTGATAATTATCGTGCATCACAGTCAGGATCTGATGTTTTATAATGTTGTTGTTCTGCACATCCAGAAGGTCTCCCACTCAGTCCAGGTTCACACAGAGAAACAGCCGTCCTCTGGATAAACCCTTCGTTTCCTCTGCAGCGTTTCCTCCGTCTCGGCAAGTTTATGACAACAGTTCTTAGTTTTGCTGCTTAAATGTCGCATGATATTTGCTGCAGTGGCTTTACTGCACTCACACATCAATACGACACAGAATAAAGAAATCACCTGAAAAGCTCGTGCTGCTCGACATTTAAAAAGGAGATATAGACTGCGAGGACCGGTAGAGGAGGGAGATATCCACGTGGCAGCGCTCTTACGAAACTAATAACACATTAGTCCACAATTAGAGAGACTCCAAGTACTGACGAAGATTTCCCTGGACTGCAATGCTTGAGCAGATAATCTTACAGATTCTCTCTCTGGTGAGTATACGCACGATTTGTTAACCGATCGTACCAAGACCTTTATAGATTCCTTTTTGGCAGATTCAGTGTTTTACGTCCCTGGTTGTTGGTCATTGCTCTCTATCAGACGTCACTTGGTTGTGATGTTCTCCGTATTAAAGCCTCAGCCACAAGGCTGTTGTACTCACGCAGCAGTGAGACGGCCTGCGCGCCTGAATACCCCGGTTCTGCGTTCAGGTCTTTAAAGTGTTGGATTTAAAATAATAATTACTTCACTTCTAAACAGTCAGAAAACCGAAGCGTTTTCAGTATTCCTGCCACTCACCCGTGAGTATCTGGTTCCTCCGCGTGACATCTCCGAGTAAAGCGAGATCAAGAAACATAATCACTTCTGTCCCCAGCGAGGGTAAGATTTGTCTGGGCTAGCTACCTTGTTGCTTCACCATAAAAAAGAGTCGTGGTACCGACAACGACGGCACCCAGCACATCTGCGCAGTGATCTGGGCTGGCAGTCAGCCCCGCTGGTCGCTAATAGGAACCGGAAGCCAGACATTGGGCGCGTGAGCTTTCAGCCCCGACCCTGACCTTTTGTCAAGAATGGACCGTCGCCCATTTATAGCGTCTAGTTATTTGCGAATCTCCACCCTGATGCTCAATCGCCGGTAGAGCCGCGCCATGAAGAGGAGAGTCTGACACCAACCGCAATCGCAAAACACTGAGCGGCCACTGGAGCCCCTGCTCAGCACAGTACACACCGCTGCTGCATGCTCTCCCCCACCCACCCACACGTCCCTTGTCCTCTTCTGAAGCGCGTCTCTTGTCCTTTGCGACACAACCCGGCAGTGAAACCGCCCCGTTACGCCAGCGTTACAGCCTCCGACATCAGGGGTCCGACCGGTGCACCTCGCCCGCCCCGGCTCTCCACTGACATCCTGCTCGCTCTCCGCCCATTGCTACCCCTCGCCGGTACCACCGGCGACGCCTCGCCTTGGGCACAAGGCGTCCCTCCTGCCGATGGATCGATCTCCTCTCACCTTCCTCGTCCGGCCGCCGTCTTCCCACCGATACGCCACTCGTCTTCATCTGATTGGATCTGCGCAGTCGTGGATTATTCTCTCCACTGTCGCGTCGCCCTCCCTCGGCGCTCGCCCACCACCGCTCGCTCTCCTCCCCCCCTCACCCGCCCTCCCGCTCCTTCTCTCTCCGCTCTGTGGGGTGTTGTGTGTGCTGTGTGTGGGTGTGCTGTGTCCGGGACACGCCGCTGGCCCGCCGAAGGCTCAGAGTCTCGCTGTAGTGTCCCTAATCCAAGGAACACGACAACCTTTAACCACTCTATCTAATCGCGCTAAATACTAGTAATCGGCAGCTGCCTTTCTTTTTGTTCTCCGCTTCACAGCATGTTCCACGTGTGTGCTGTGTGTGTGTGGTCCTGTAACTCAACGCTCTTTTCATTTACTTATAAGCTCTTATCTTTTTCTACCTGTCACCTTTGCATATCACAGACAAAACAGATTTTTCTTTATCGCGTCCGCATCTGGGTACGCATAAACTCCACCCCACTCGGCCCACGTGGATATCTGCCCTCTCTAACACGCTCCTCGCCGTCTACTACCTCGTCCCTTTTCTAAATGTCGAGCAGCACGGCTCTTCAGGTGACATTGATTCTTTATTGCTGTGTCGCTATTGAATGTGTAGAACGTGCAGTAAAGCCCTGGCACCAAATCATCATGCGACCCTATTAACGCAGCCAAAACTAAAAGGAACTGTTGGTCATCAAACTTGCCGAGACGGAAAGGACACGCCTGCAGAGGAAACGCGAAGGGTTTACTCCAGAGGACGGATGTTTCTACTGTGTGAACCTGGACTGAGTGGAGACCTTTCGCTGGCGCATGTCAACAACAACATTATCAAACATCGACTCACAGACAGAGATAGATCAGCACAAAATATAACAAGACAAACGTGTCGGCCAAACATAAAAAAAGAGGAAAATATAGTATACATAAAAAATATATCAATGCGATAATCCCTCCTCACGATACACAATTCATAAGTCTCACTAGATAATATTACTTCTTGAATAGTTCTGTGGATTAGGCTTCACTGCTCTCTTGGATCTTTGGGTGGCTTGTGACATAGCCGCACGAATTATTGAAAGTTACTCTGTGTTTGCGCTCACCACACGCCTCACGACTTTCTTCACAGTCATCTTGTAAATACACGGCAGGGTTATACAACTTAAAACGCACGCCAGCGTGCCTAAATCCTTAAATGTTGAAAATCAAAAAGCAGAGCAGTAGGCAGCACTTTTTTAATTTCCACACGACGTCTGAGCAACCGCGCGCCCTTTCTTCACGCG